CCTTTTCAGTCAAGGAAGGAAGAACCTCATTATCCAAGACCAGAGGGGCCGCTTCATCTGACAAGAGATACCTGTTGGAGGTTGGCATGCAGCTTAATTGCAGTCATCAGAACTTCTCTCAGTTGTTCTCATTCTGATTCTAAGGGTCATTTCTTTTTTCCCCAATCAATACCCTGATTTCAAGTAAGAAGTCTACAGCGAAGGTTAATGCAACTGACCTTTAGCTTCATAATGGCATGTTCCATGTTTTTAATCTGAGACTAACTATGTTTGTTTCTAAACCTTTTGACATCTTCAGCACCAACAGTGGGACCACTGGCCTTTGGGTTCCCGATGCCCATCACACTGACACTTGATTTTCCAAATTGCTGTCCCTAATGCTACAACTGAATTATATTTCTAGGCTACATAATTTCCTAAATTTATGATTATAAAACAATATTAAAATTAAAACGTATTTGTTTAAATTATTGCGTTTGTGAAGATATGTGATTTTATGGATATATATAGCATTTTATATTTGAAAGCACTGCATTGAATGACTTTTTATTTGTGAAGAATGGGTTATTAGAAATTATTAACATACTGATGTCTTACATAATCTGTTTAATTTGTTTAATATATTCTAAGATTTTGCTAAGAATCACTATCAAGCTTATTAGCTTGTGGATTTTGGAATCAGTCAATGTTCCTCTTATAAATTGAGAATTTTGCCATATTTAGTATTCTGTGCCCTCCTGAATTCCAGCTTGTTTATTAAAAATATTAGTAGTGGATATCAGATTAGCGTGTAAATTGCTTCAGTATCCATACATGTAATTAGCCTCAGTCTGTATACTTGCATTTAATCTGAAGAACTTACTCTTGTTATTTCAGTACCTATCTCTATAATGACTATTCATCTTTAAAAATATGATTTTTCCTGTCACACTTTTACAGAAGCTCTATCTTAAATGTACAGCTATAATCATTCTGCCTTCATACTTGCCATACTCTGTTTTCATAGCATGTTTGTGGACAAGATTGTGTTACCCAATTTCCAAAGTCCGCTGTCCTTCGGCAGCTTGTGTACCATTTACACAGAAACGTAGCATTGGTGCTGCTTCAGAACATAGGTTCTTCCACGATCCTGTCCTGCAGCCTTGACATGCTCTCGAATGAGAAGGCCCAAGGCCAGCGGGCCTCGTGCAGTCTTATCGCTGTGTTCTACCCTTTCAACCTCACCCCCCCCAAGCTGGGATGGTCCAAAATTCTCAAATTGGTTTCCTTTTATTTTTATTCTCCAGGTAATGAAGCTTTATCCACTTCTAATCAGGTAATAAAAACATTGCATGTGTCTGATAAGTGTCAAAATCCAGATGACTTTATATAAGCATAGCTGTAGGCCTTCCTTTCCTTGCCATTTCTAAATGCATCGATTAATGTCTTTCATATTTTAAGTGATATTCTTGGTCATTTTAATGTAGAAACAAAAATAAATAAAAATTTTTAAAAATGCTTTGATTTAGATGATTGGAAAGTTCTTCTTGTTATTCTAATTCTACTAAAGTGTTATTTTAATTTTCAAAAAATTTATAACAAAAATAAATTAAATCAAATAAATACACATGCATCATCTGACCACCATAAAACATCAGTTCTTTTTAACTTTCCACCTTTGTTTCCAATCCTTATATCCATGAATTAACATTTATATTTACCAGCATGGTGGATATCAACAAACACATACAGAAGTTTATTCCTTTTAATACTACATCACAAGCATTTTATTAACTTAATTATTAGGTAGTATCATAATTTTAAAATTTTCCTTTCATGGTCTATGCAATTGAAAATGTATTTAAACTCTAAATTTTATTAATTGTATTTTATTTTATAAATATTTATAATTATGTAATTTGATTAATTACTTAGTGTCAACTGTTGCATATATTCTATCTCGACATGTGTGACCTAAAGTGTNTTAATTTTAAAATTTTTCTTTCATGGTCTATGCAATTGAAAATGTATTTAAACTCTAGATTTTATTAATTGTATTTTATTTTATAAATATTTATAGTTATGTAATTTGATAATTTACCTAGTGAGTGTCAACTGTTGCATATATTCTATCTTGACATGTGTGACCTAAAGTGTACAACTGCTTTTCTGTAGATATTCAGAGGGATAGCAGTGTATTTCTTTTCTCTTTTATTATATGAGGTGAAATGAGAGCAGAGCGCGTGGTAGCTTAGAGCATAACANTGTGTGGTAGCTTAGAGCATAATACACGTTGTTAAAATGAGGTCTCTAAGGCATCAGGGCCTGAAGAAAGGGCTTTGGACACCTGAAGTATAAAATCAGCATCAGAGAAGAAAAGAGGAGGGGTGGGGGACTGAGTTAAAATTTGGCAGGTGATTCTGGATCCTTGATGTCTTTCTTCTTTGTGCTTGGCAGGAAAATGACAGTGGCAGTGGCCCCGAAGACGTGTGCTACACGGTCATTAGTCCCAGCTCCTATCATAGGCCCTCCTTGAGCTCCAATGACAGTGGTTATGAGAACATTAACTCTGTCACAAAGAGAGTGAAATCGTTGAAAGAAGGGTCAGAAACAGAATATGCCCTCCTCAGGACGACTGGCACCCCCAGGCCTTCTCCCTGCGCCCCTGACCATGATTATGAACTTGTGCTTCCCCACTAGACACCTCATTCCCCCTCACCTTTCAGAAACAAAGACGGCGCAGAGCACTGCCCTCTGGGGAAGTCTCTCTCGGCAGCTCAGAAAACGTTCATTTCTGGCCAGAGTTTAGAAATGATGTCCTTTTACTATATTGCCTTGGGAAACTCTTAAGCATGGTATTGCTGTGGTTTGTGCGAAGCCATATACATTGACATCATGATATAAAGTATCCTACATCTCTTTGTTTATAAGGTTTGAAGACATGGACGTGGTGGGGAAACCTTCCTAGGCAATAAGCATCCACAAATACATGACCTAAAACATTCAGTTCCACCCGCACTTTCCAAATTTCAAATGCCAATATTTTCATTCCTAATTATGTATTTTATTTTTGAAGTATAAACTACTCAATAAACTTTTAAAATATAAGACCAGTGATGAGACCCATTACTAATCTGGTATTTACTTCAATTTTGTCTTTTTCATGTATTGGAAATTTTGCTTGTGATAATATTTCAAGAATCAATAGTTATTAATATTGGATTTTCTGAGAGAAGAAGCTGAGTATGCCATTAATTATAAAAGAAGAAATGCATCAGGCTTAGTTACCCGTTGTCTTTCTTTCTAATAGTAAATAGAATGACTTTGTTCAAATATTAGCAAAACACAAAAGCAAACTTGTGCCTATTGCTCTGTTCACAACATACTAGGTGATCGCCCTGTGATTAGCTGCCTCTACTAAAGAAGAGTCAATAGCCTCTGATTTTAAATTTTAGGCAAACTGATAAATAATCCATCCATTTTTATTTTCATCCCTAAGGAAATTTTTAAAAATATATATCTTTTTTATTTCAGAGAGAGGAAGAGAGAGATAGAAACATCCATGATGAGAGAGTCATTGATCGGCTGCCTCCTGCACGCCCCACACTGGGAATCTAGCCCACAACCCCGGCATGTGTCCTGACTGGGAATCAAACCCCGATCTCCTAGGTCATAGGCCGATGCTCAACCACTGAGCCACGCCGGCCAGGCCCCAAGGAATTTTTTAATGAGATGCCAACTTCCTCGTAAGGGCACAAAGGCTTTAACTGACAAAACACCAGTGATTCATTTTTCTGTATAATGATACTTTGGTCACCAACATGGGTCAATCAATAGATGGACACTGGCTACTCATTTGTTTTATACACGTTTTGACTCTCCTGACTAGTTCTTGGGCTCCTTTGTGGTGATTTCAATGTCTGAAAGGGGAACGTATTAGAAATCTTATAATTCTGGATAAGTCACCCTGTCAGAATATTCCAGTCTTGTAGAAATCAGCTAAATTTAGGAAATGACAAAATTATTTACTTTCTGTATGCCTTATTTTTAATATATTGTATAACAATCTGGAATTGTAGGAGAAGGAGCAGCAGTAGATTAATGAATAGAATTGTTTAACAGAAGAAATATTGAAATCCAAAGGCACAGATGCGACCTCATTGTTAACCACAAAGCCTGGATAGACCAACTAATCCTTCTGAGACTCAGTTTTTCAGTGAAAAAGAATTTTTCAAATTAAATATCTTATGTGGTTTTAAAAAGCAATAAAACTATTGTAAAACTGCTTTTTAACCTGTAAACTGTTCTCTAAAGGTTAACTTTTTCATGTATATATATATTTGGAATTTTAAAATTATGTATATTTTAATCAATTTTACTCAAGTATTATTACATACAACAAAATGTAAGCACCATAAGGAGAGAGTTATATGAATTTTGTCAAGTGTATTCACCCATCTAATCACTCCCCCATTTATGTAGTCCCAGAAAGTCTATTATGCCCTTTTCAGGCAATTTCACCAGTCCTGGCTACTAATGGCATGCTTTGTATAACTAGGTCAATTAATCTCTTCTGGAGATTCATAGAAATTGATCCTTTTAGTATTTACTTTTTACGTTAAGGCATTTTTCATTCATCATGTTTTTGAGATTTGTCCATGCTTAACTTGTCTCAGTAACCGACTTCTTTTTTCCAGCAGTATACTTCTGTATAGATATCCTATAATTATAAATCTAATCACTTGAGGATGGGTATGTGGGATATTTACAGTTTTGACATTATGAATAAAACTGCTGTAAATATATTCGAATATTGAAGTGTATTAGTTTGCCAGGACTGCCAAGACAGACTAGGTGGCTTAAACAACAACAAAGTTATTTCCTCACAACCTAGAGTCTGGAAAGTTCAAGCTCAAAGTCAGCACATTTTATTTTTATGAAGCTTCTAGGGGAGAAACTGTCATGCCTCTCTCCTAGCTTCTGGTGATTTGCTTGCAATCTTTGGGATTCCCAGACTTATGGATAAGACATTTATGTGCCAGATATGGGAAATAAATCCAAATAAATTCAGGAGGTGACCCTGTTCTGTGGGTGCCATTCATCCTATTTCACCGGCCGTCCCTGTTATCGCCCAATGGGCTCATTAACAGAGTGGCCTTGGTGGCAGGGATGAAGGCGATGCGTGGGCTCACCAATGCCTCCTGGTTACGGTCACTGTCGGTGTCCAAGCTGCCAGCAGCAGAGACCAGCGCTGACTGCCCAGCACGGCATTGCTCCTGTGGGGATCAGCCAGCTCCCTGGTGCCAAGTCAACTACCTTAGACCATTTCCACATGGAAGGGGCACTATTTTGTTCCTACTGGAATTGAGGCTTACTCTGCATATGGGTATTTCTTCCCTGAATGCAATGCTTCTGCCAAATATAGTATCTGTGGACTTAACAGAAAGTCTTATTCCCCTTCATAGTACTCTGCGCAGCATTGCTTCTGGTCCAGGAACTTACTGCACGGAAAAGAAAGTGTGGCAATGGGCTCCCGTGAGGAAACCCCCTCGTCTGACTACGTTTCCCATGCTCCTGAAGCAGGTAGCTTCGTAGGACATTGGAAATGTATTTTGAAGCCTCAGTGACTGCCAGCTGGGTGGGAATACCTTGCAGGGCTGGGGCAGGATTCCCCGGGGGACTGTGTATGCTGTAAATCAGTGTCAAATATATGGTGCTCTATCTTGCACAGCCAGGATTTGTGGGCCCAGGAAACAAAGGTTGGCATTAGGAGGGCACCACTCATACTTATCCCTAGTGACTCATTACAAATATTTAATTTTTAAATATTTTTCCTTGGAAATTGGTGCACTGCTGGTCCAGAAGTTTCAAAGAAAGGGATGCTTACACTGAGAGAAAGAACAATGATTCCACTGAACTGGAAGCTAAGACTGTTGCCTGGCCCTGTGGGCTCGGTCCCTCTGGATCAATAGGCAAAGACGGGAATTACTGTGCTGGTTGGGGGAATTCATACTGGCCACCAAGCGGAAAATGACTGTCCCCCCGCAGTGATGAGGAAGAATATGTCTAGAAATGAGGAGCTCCCTTAGGGTTCTCTTGTTTCTACCTTGTCCTATTATTAAGGTGAAAGGAAAATTATAATAACACAATTCAGGTAGGACTACTGATGGCCCAGACCCTTCAGAGATAAAGGTTTGGGTCACCCCAAAAGGTAAGAAAAACATAACTGCCCTAGCCCGGCCGGGCGTGGCTCAGTGGTTGAGTGTTGACCTGGGATCCAGGCGATCGGGGTTCGATTCCCGGTCAGGGCACATGCCCGGGTTGCGGGCTGCAGCCAATCAATGACTCTCATCATTGATGTTTCTATATCTTTCTCTCCCTCTCCTTTCCTCTCTCTGAAATCAATAAAGATATATTAAAAAGAAAAATTATATAAAAAAGGAAAAACATAACTGCCCTAGCCAATTTGGCTCAGTGGTTAGAGTGTCGGCCCATGGACTGAAGGGTCTCGGGTTCGATTCTGATCAAGGGCATGTACCTCAGTTGCAGCCTCGATCCAAGGCCCTGGTTGGGGTGAATGCTGGAGGCAACCAATCGATGTTCCTCTCTCTCTCTCTCTCCCTCTCTGAAAAGCAATGGAAAAAATATATCCTCCAGTGAGGATTAAAAATAAAAGAAAGAACCAGGCCGGGCGTGAATCAGCGGTTGAGCGTCAACCTAGGATCCAGGTAATCGGGGTTCGATTCCCTGTCAGGGCACGTGCCCGGGTTACGGGCTGCAGCTGATCAATGACTCTCTCATCATTGATGTTTCTATCTCTCTCTCTCCCTCTCCTTTCCTCTCTCTGAAATCAATAAAGATATTTTAAAAATAATAATAATAATAATAATAATAATAATAATAAAAGAAAGAAAGGAAAACATAACCAGCTGAGGTTCTTGCTGAGGGCAAAGGCAATATGTAATGTGTAAGTCTAATAAAGTAAAGAAATTATAAACACTAGCTACAACCATGTGATCAGTTACAGAAATAAGGGCTATAGCTGTTATGAGGATTTATTATTATTATTTTAATGTTTCTTTCTTTATTGTTGAGACCATTACAGATGTCCCCTTTTTAACCCCACTGATCCCCTCCACCCCACATCCATCCCACCCCCAGGCCCTCCCCACACCAATGTCCATGCCCATAGACCATGCCCATATATATACAAGTTCCCTGACCAATCTCTCCCCACCCACACCCCTCCCAGCCTTTTCTCTGAGATCCCTCAGTTTGTTCCAAGCTTCTATGTTTCTGGGTCAGCTTTGTTCATCAGTTTACTTTGTTTATTATATTCCACATATAAGTGAGATCATTTGGTACTTGTCCTCTGACTGGCTCATTTTACTTAGCATAATACTCTCTAGTTCCCTCCATGCCAAAGGCCAAAAGGTCCTTCTTCTTCAAAGCCTCATAGTATTCCATGGTGTAAATGTGCCGCAGCTGTTTTATCCACTCATCTACTGATGGGCACTTGGGCTGTTTCCAGATCTTAGCTATTGTGAATTGCGCTGCTATGAACATAGGGGTGCATAAGTTTTTTGCAATTGGTGTTTGGGGTTCCTTAGGATATATTCCTAGAAGTGGGACCACTGGGTAAAATGGCAGGTCAATTTTTAATCTTTTGAGGAAACTCCATACTGCTTTCCACAGTGGCTGCAGCAGTCTGCATTCCCACCAGCAGTGTCCTAGGGTGCCCTTTTCTCCACACCCTCACCAGGACTTGTAGTTTGTTGACTTGTTGATGGAGCCATTCTGACAGGTGTGAGGTGATACCTCATTGTGGTTTTAATTTGCATCTCTCTGATGATTAGCAATGTTGAGAGCATTCTTTCATATGTCCCTTAGCCATTTGTATGTCTTCTTTGGAGAAGTGTTTATTTAGCTCCATTGC